AATATTTTATTGGAATCATGAGCAGATCTATGTTTATTTTATAGATCCGACACAACCTTCCATCCTAAAGCATATAGCGTAAGGAATCTAATAAAAATTTATGGGAACATTTTTTCATAATTTTTATCATGTCCCCTATTTTAAAAATAAAATTGAAAGAAAGAAAGATACATAATGAATTAATTCACAACTCAACCAATTATAATTTAATTCAACTCATAACTTTATTAATGTTATAACATAAACGCGGCATCACAACTAAAGAAAATATAATATATCTCAAAATTACAATTTTATCCTCTAATTATATTATTTCAATCTTGATGACAGTTTCAAATCTCTCTTTTGCAGCATATTTTTTTCTATATCTTCAAAATATATTTTTTATGTCTTTTATAACTAATGCAAGGGGAATTCTAGTTATATATTCGTAATTTATAAATTAATAAATTATATTGCCGAGTCAGGTATACTACAACATAGATTTTTTGTTTATAATTCTTTGTAAAAAAAATATTATTTTCAATAATTTTCTTATGTTGAATTGAGAAAAATCGTCATTTTTTTTATTAAATACTTTTTAACTTATTGTGACTGTACTGATGTGTTAGAATGTATTACAAGTTAGAAACATGACAAATTATGTAAAGTATAATTTATAAATTGTAATGGCATTATGTTATTTTGATGGTATACTTTTTCTATTAACTATATAGTGCCCAATATAAAATTATTTTGGATCCGCCACTGCAATTAGTTTTCCAATGGAACTTCTATTAATTTTTTTACAATTTCAATGACAGTTTTTTCAACGGTTGAAATACAATCCGTAAAAAAATTCGACAGAGATTCAAACAATAATAAATTATGGTAATTGGAATGATTTAATTCACAAAATTTTCAATGTAATTTAATTTGTTCTCTGTTAGAATAGTTAATGAAATTTTCCAATAAAAGCTTTACCAATGAAATATCCGTTGGAATTTTCTTTGGAATATCTTACAGATGCATTTTCCATTGCAATATACCAATTTTTTTTTTTTGTATTCCTTCTTAAACATTATATTTTAGGTAGTAGTTATTGAGTAACTATGTTTACAATTTTTCTAATAACATACATTAAACACATGAACTTTTTAATCCATATAATTTTTTTAAAGTAACTCATTATTTTATCTCAAGATTACCTAATAAATTCCCAATTGAGTTACATTTATTACATATTAAATGTTAAATAATTAAAATAATTACTATTTATATATATTATATGTAAAAAGCTAATAGCAAATAAATAGTAATTTAAAATTAGAATAATCAAGTATTTTTTTTTTCCTAACCTACATGGATAAAGGTAAAAATAACTATTGTATATCACCTAAAAGTTACATATAGACTTAATAAGTACAAAAATTAACAAGCATTTAACAACCCTGCTCGTTTACATTGATAAATATAAGTTTTAAAAGGTTTATGTTTACTTTTATTAATTATAACATATTTATTTATTATTTTTTAATATTTATTAGTACGTATTACAACTTAGTGATTTTTAATATCATTTTTCAGATTTAATATTATTTTTTTATTTTATATTGTTCTTTCATATGTTTTTAAAGTTTGTATTTGTTTAAAAATTCATAATATTATGTATAGAACTTTTTCGGTCATACGTGTTAATCTATCAATTATTTGTATATCTTAATATCTATCATTATATAAAAAGAATAACCTTTTTACAAATTTAGAAATATTTTCCCGCCAAAATCATTAAATATATCCTACATATAGTAATTGTTGGACAAATCTGAATAGGCAAAAAAAAATCGGCTCATTAATTGTGTAAAGATTTGTTTCTTTTTTCCTGTTTTTTAGTTTATCAAAACCGTTGTTTGACAATAAATATTTGTTTTTCTTTTTCCTATTTTTAGTGTAAATCTACACGAGCTTATCTCTTCTGTTATAAATATTTTTAGCATACGTCTCACGTGTTTAAAAAATCTCATCCCTTATCTATACAGATTTGAAAAAATAAAATAAAATAGAAACCAATTAATAATTACTACTAGAAATCCATTATCTTTAAAAAGAAAATATAAAATAAAATAGAAACCAATTCATAATTACTAATAGAAATCCATTATCTACTTTAAGAAGCTAATTTTCATCGGTCTAATTACTAATATTTTTACAAATATTATAAGCTAACCATACAAAAAAGTATAATAATAATTTTGAAATGTTGTGTAATCAAATTTTTTTATATTCTCTAATACAAAATAATTTTACATTGTTTGACCTCAAATCTTTAATTTATAATTATTAAGTATCTTTAATTTATAATTATTTTTTTTCTTTCTCTTTTTAAATAGGATCAATAGTAGTTTCCACTTCCGCCGTCGAATGACTCAAACTCGAGGTCTATTTATAATATTGTTATTTTAATATTGTTCCCGTGCATCGCACTGGGTACACACTAGTTATATTATATACAATTACAGTTTTCTCTTTAATATTATAATCAATTATTCATAATTTATAAATTAATTAACAATATTGTCGAGTCAACTATACTACCACATAGATTTTTTGTTCATAAGATTTTTAAAGAATATATTATTTTGGTCATATGTGTTAATATATAATCTATTTATATATCTTAATATTATATTATATACAATTACAATTTTCTCATTAATATTAGAATCAATTTGTCATAATTTATATATTCATCAACAAAATTGTCGAGTCATCTATACTACAACATAAATTTTTTGTTCATCAGATTTTAAAAGATATATTTTTTTCAATGATTTGCTTACTTTTAGTTGAGAAAAATTATATTTTTTTTAATACTTTTAACTTATTGTAACTGTAAAGATTTGTAAACATGTATTACAGATGAGAAAGATGACAAATTTTGAAAAGTAAAATTTAAATATTGTAATGACATTATGTTATTTTGATGGTATATTTTTTCTATTAGCTAAATAGTTCCCCCAATATGAAATTGTCTGTATCTATCACTGCAATTAGCTTTCCAATGCAACTTTCATTGATACGTTCCCAAAAAGAAAATTCACACAAGAAATAAATAATGGTAACTCGAATCATTAAATCCATTAAAATTCCATTATAATATAATTTGATCTATGTTGGAATAGCCAATGATACTTTTAAATGAAAGCTATGCAAAGGAAATATCCTTTAGAATTTTTAGTGGAACATCATATCGTTGGATTTTTCATTGCAACATAACATTTATTTTTTGCATTCCTTTTTAAAATTTAAAATTTTTATGTTGTAGTTTTTCTATTAATTGATTGCGTTTATAATTTTTTTTATTAAAAAGATATTAAACACACGAACTATTTAGTCTAAATAACTTCTTAGAAACCACTCGTTATTTTAACTCAAGATTACCTATTAATTTCTCAATTGAATTACAACCTTTTTACGTATTAATATTAAATAACGAAAATAATTATTATTTTATATTGTAATATGATATATATATATATATATATTAAAAAAAACTAATAGCAAATAAAAATTTATCTAAAATTAAAATAATCATTTTTTAAAATATTAAAATTTCCAACCTACATGGATAAAATTACAAATAACTATTATCTATCACCTAAAAGTTACACATAGAACTAATAAACACAAAAAATAAAAATAAATAAACAATTCGATTCATTTACATCGATAAATATAAGTTTTAAAAGTTTTATGTTTAATTTTATTAATTATAAAATTTTTATTTATTATTTGTTTTCATATTTATTAGCAAGCCTTACACCTTAATTATATTTTTAATGTTATTCATCAGATTTATTATTTTTTTTACTTGCAAATCATTCTTTTATTTAGCACACATCTTTAAAATCAGTGGCTCATATAAAATAATAATAATTAGAATCTCATGATGTTTTACTTAATTATTGAATGTAAAATACATATATTTTAAGTGCTAATAATTAAAATATTACTCACCTTGATATTAACCATTCAATGGTCAAGTGAAAATTCGTCAATTTTATTCACTTTGTGACTAAAATTGGAAAAAACAAACAAACAAACAAATGACGATTTTTGTGGGATCAAAATTCTATCCAGTAAGACTAAAGTGCAATTTCTATTCTAATTCTAAATATAAGATTTTACTTTTCTTAAATAATGAGGTAGTTAAATGAATTGTTCAACTTTTCTAGTTTGTCAGATAATGTATAAAATTATATTAAAAACAAGAATTTTTTTTAAAACAACAATTCTATATCTTTTCAAAACTTTATTGTTTAGGTTGATGTTAGGTTGATTTTTGGGAGATATGTGGAAGAAAGCAATTTCGTGAGAAATAATGGTGCGTAAATATTGTGTTTGATTTTTAGGAGATGTGAAATGTATTGTTCATGTATTTGTATTTAAGTAATTAAGCATTAGTTATTAATTAAAATTATAAGATATGATAGGTATTAGTGTATTACTAATTTGCCATTAAAAACATGTTAAAGTAAGGATTTTTTAGGTAATTTATTTTTTTAATTAAAAATATAAATTAAAATATGTATTACTGTATTACTAATTTGCCATTAAAAATATGTCAAAGTAAGATTATTTTAGGTAGTTCATATTTTTGCAAAAACATTCGTCCTTTTAGAGTAGTATAGATAGATATAGATATAGATATAGATAGATAGATAGATAGATATGTATTAGCTTCGTGCAAAACTGAACCAAAATCAAGAAAAACCAAAAAATCAATCTTGTTAAAAAAAAAAAACAACTGAGTCGCATTCAACAATAAAAGTATAAATCGAAATCGAATTGTTAATTTCTACACTAAAATAACATAACCGAATCGTACCAAATTGCACCGCTTGATATTGTGTCACCCTTACTTTATAATTTTCAAAAAATGCGAAAAAAATAAATGTTAGAAACTTAAGTGATCCTAAAATTTTATTTCGTCATACATAATATTTACACTCCGAGATCTTTTAACCGGGTGCCGTTGAATGATTTAAATCAATCACAACACTAACAAGTGGTGCAACAATACTACTATTCTTTTCTGTTATTCCTTTCTCAGACAAAGTCGCATCCCGAGACTCAAAATTCCCTAAGGTGCTGAGCTCATCAATGGCGTCAGCAATACTCTCGACATAAGCAACTGTATCGTTTAGCAGGGATGCAACTGCAGCAACTGGAATCACTTGCACGAGGTTCGCTTGTTCTCCCCAAAAATCCGATTTTAGGAGAGAACTAAGCTTCTTGGACTCGGTTTTAAGGCTCGATGCACGTGGATTTGGATACGTTAGTTTGGTCATGGTCTCGACTGACCATGCTAGCTCTTTAAGTGCTTTTCCACATTCCGAGCTCATGTTTGAGATCGTGGCTCGGATTTCTTGGGGTGCCTGTATTAATTAAATTAATTAATTAGCACAATTAATGTTTTGGAAATTTTGAAGTGTTTAATTTGTGCTTACATTTTGCAATATTGGTTTGAATGTGTATCTTTTAGCTTTAAATGAATGTTCTTGCAATATATTTATTTACAAGTATATTATTTATTAATTTATTTATTTGAAAACTCATGTAACGTGACATACTTGAGATTTAGAATTTAGATAGCCTTTGAGAGCCTCAACTCGACAGGCGCAATTTCTGGTTAAACTAGCTATTTTGAGATACTGTTTCCATGGATGGCGGTACATGAACCGTCCATGACCCGGTTCCCATCTAGCGAAATTCGCCTGCAGCACACAAAATGAAAATAAATTAAATAAATAAAAAAA